TCCCAAATGTTCCCTGGTCCTTGTCTGAAACCATTTCACAGCCACGACAGTTGAACACTGCCATTAAGAGGTGCAGAGGCATGACGTTCAGGCCAACTGACACAGACAAGGTGGGGACAGGCTGAGGCTGCCACCACCCCACAGAGCAGCCCAAGAGGCGGCTGCAGCTTGGTGCTACATGCTCCTTGGGGCTGTGGCCACCTCAGCTCAGATGCTCTGCCCTTAGAGGAGAGAAATAGAGAATGCAGATCCTGCTGCTCCTTCCATCTTCTCCCCTCTCCCCCACGCCCTGCAGAGCAGCTCAAAATAAAAATGTGAACATAATGTTTTGGCAAGTAATGAAATTTCCTCCTTTCTGAAAATGACTATGTCCCTGTACTTGTGCCTGGGGCTTCCTGCATTACATCCCCGTTCCTCTTTGTAGCTGAGCTGCCTGGTGTGGGGAATGGCCCTTCCCTATGCAAACTTCACAAACAATCAATACCTGAGTCCTCGCGGAATTACTGCCCTGGGTAAAATTTGGCCCACAGTGTTGTGTGGCAATAACTTGTGAATATTTTTTGTTTCTAAAAGCATAAGAATGTGCTTTTCAAGAGTAATGCTTTCTAGAAAACTGGTCTGTGGTATCAACCCATTGAAGAGGGAAGCTGAAAGTTCGTAACAACCTGCAAGTATGTATTGCACAGCCCTTCCAAAGGAACACTTACGTAAAGGTCAGGTGTGGTTTCATGGCACAGCTTTATGCCTTGGCCTCTCAAAAGTAGATTATATTCTCAGCAAATTGCTCCCCTTATTTACCACTGTGCATCTGTGACCTTTCCTGTGGTCAGAAGGCGCCTGGCTGGTGCTGCACGAACTGACTGAAGGCTGACCACAACCAGCATGAGGTGCTTCCCAGCCCCACAGCTGACGGCCCCACCACCCACCTACACCACAGTGCACAGGGGCGCTCAGCCAGCACATCACCCACTGGCACACACCGCACAGCATCAGTCTCCCAGCAGGACAACTTCACTTCCTCCAGAAAACTCTCTGGGAGAATGAGCATCACTCCATTACTCGATCTGAACTATTCAAATACGCTCAATTTTGCTGGGCAAAGCCCCTTGGGTTCTATTCTTCCATACAGGCATTGCTTTCATGAGACTTTGCAAGGATTGCAAGAAAGCATTGATTATACATTTTTCAGAGCAAGCCATTGTAAGAGAGAGGGTGAACAGGCTGCTGAAAAAACAAACCCTAGGAAGCAGACTGCTGGTATAGCTGGAAGGGAGTGAATCATTCTTGTTTCAGAAGCAGTATCATTAGCCTGGAGCTAAAAGAAGCAAAATAGGGAGTAAGATAAGGCATTTGATAGGAACAATGTCCTTGTGTTTCTTTTTTTTGTTATGATTAACAGCTATTACCAGTAAGTAGCAGAACCTGTGACTCTACAGAGAATATAAAGTTTTGTTCTCAGAATAGGGGGCAGCATTTTCACCAAACAAGAATGGACATGGGAGGTTATTTTAATTCCTGGCATAGCTGGGCATGTCTTATCTCCAGCTCATGAAAAAGCGGAAATGCATAATGAAGACAGACGGTTTTCTTGCTAGGTAATGAGATACAACTTTCACCATAGGATGAGAATTGTTGGCAAGATGTGGTAACAGTAAAGAGAAACTCAGTATTGCCAACTGAATAGATCTGTCACATTTCTTTCTACAACTGTTATGTCTACTACTGCTACAAATAGCACAGCTGAGTGATAACACTTTAAAAATGTGAAAAAAAATATTTTCTCTATTTCCACCTCTGTTTGCCTTGAAAATCTGACAACATTTTGTTTGGTCAAAGTCATATTTCAGGTCCACAGGGCCAACATTTTTTAGGCCTTTAAACCTGTGCCGGTCATTAACAGCAGCAGAACTTAAACAGTTCACAGCAACTGACGTGGGACAGAGAAGGCAGTCTTGTTAAGTGTCTTTTAACTAGAAGGAAATAGGAATAAGATAACCTTGCACAAGAACGTTAGCTTTAAAACGTTGAAATGGAGTTTTAATATCTGCTGGTTATGTCCTTAACCTACAGAAATAATTTCATGTTGCCAGAACCTTCCATCCATGGAAGTCACACTGATTTCATGAACTTCTTTAGAATCAGTCCTTAGATTACTCTATTTTTTACTACATGAAGAACAAATAAGCTCCAGCTGAGTCTATATATGTTTTAAAGCTATTCTAATATGCACATAATTAATATGTATATTACTCAGGAAAGAGCAAACATCAAGTGCTGCAGTAAGGTTCATGTCACACATTTGATTACTGTACTGAAATATGCTACTGTAAATAAACTAGTACATTACAGTTTGTTATGAATAATTACAATTAAAACAGCAATTTACAAAATGAATGAAGCAAGAACATTTTGTAACTCTATTCTTCTTACCATACTTCATAATTTGAGTAAAACATTAAATCTGAGTCTGCTTAAACAGAGGAAGGATTTGTAAGTATCATTTATTAATTTGGAAAGCACTTCAGTCACACACAAAAAATATTAAAGCATATCCAAGATCAGCTTATGCATAGGTTTTGATAAAACATCAGTTTGTATGCCATGCAAAATAAACTGGTCCTTAGCCACCTTTCACAGGTCTCAGAGGTGAAGCTCAAGACAGTGTCTTGCAGAGGTGGTGACCCACCCATCAGGAAGCCCTGTTGCTGACTGTGGAACATTGATGCCTGAGAAAGAATCCATCCTATCTAATAACAGAGGACAAGGGAGAGAGGTGGGCTTCTAAGGTCCATCCCAGCTGATGCTCAAGGAGGTGAATAGAAACTACGTGCGTCTCATCAGCCAAGCTTTTTCACAGCAAGATCTGCCTTATGACATTGCGGTCAAAACTGATATCTGAGTGCAGGGCACAGAGTTGGGAAAAATAGGCTGCACTTTGGCAAGTGATTTTAGAAGAAGTCAGCTTTTGAGACCTAGAGATAAAAAGAGACAGATAGGTCAACAGGATATGAGTAATATTACTGTATCTTTTAAAGGGATTTTTAAAGTAGACCAAAGATGCTTTTATGCAACTTATTGAAAATGACCTAGGAGATTGGCAGGAAAATGACATGAAAACGGCCCAGGAGAAAAGATCATTTGTAAGGGGATCCCCTACTCATCTGTTACTGCCTACACTCATTGTTGCAGCCTTAGATGGAGGTTGAGCAAAGGACATGACATCCTGCTCTGCTACACAGAAATCCCACAGAGGACCCAGGGGGCCTTTAGACCATATGGCATTCTTCAGGCACTGGGTGATACTGGGAGAAAACAGGATGCATGTTTGGCTCCAGCAGGGTTGAAATTCCCTCGAAGATGGGATACCTTTGGATAAAACCTTGCAGCAGAGAGCAGAAGCCTGTAATACTATCCTGTCATGGTTGAGGACACCAGTAGTTTTTCACTGGGTTTGATTAAAGGAAGTTTATAATTCTCACTTCTTTCTAATACCAATGGATTAATCTAATTTTTGCTAATCTGGCAGCACAGAGTAGCTGACACCTGATTCCTCCAAGTCACAACAGCTGCTTGCAGCTGCGTGAGCCAGAGATTGTTAAGCACACAGTTAACTCCCACGGACCGACTTAATTCCCTTTTTTTTCTATAACCATTTCTTAGGCGAGTCTCTCCTGGTATTTTAAAAATTCATTTTAATCAATTTAAGATTAATAAAGAAACAATTAAATCCTTAGGGCCTGCAAACTCCAATCTCTGCCACACTGGATGTGATGAATCAGCTTCAGCACTGCCCACTGTGGTGCCCGCTGTGGGAAGCCTCCGAGGAGCTGTTGCTGCAGCTGAACTAGGTCACTCGACTTGCTATTTACAGAGAAGCAACCGTTTCTGTGATTGTATGTTTCTCTGTTTCTTATCTTAAAGAGAGCTGTTGTATTCTGAGGGCACAACCTCTGACAATATTGGACTGTGGCCACACATGCTGTGGCTCTGCCTGTACATTTGCAACAAGCAGAGGGCCAGACACACGCACAGCCAGGAGGTCATTCAAACGAGCCTGAGAGGAACAAGGTTTGCAGCTGCCGGCACCAGGGCACTGCAACACACAGGACCCCATTCCACTCCTAGAGCACAGTGCAGCACCTATGCAAAGGACAGGCTCCGAAATTCCTCCAGTTACTTCCCCCACTCTTCCCCAGGCTGGGAATAGAAAGCAGCAGTCCAGACAGCCAGTCCTCTGTGCCAGCCTCCGATTCACACCTCCTCCTAAAACCAAGCCCAGCTCCACTCCCTTCACAAAACTGCCTCAGCTCTGCCAGCTTGCTTGGGGCCAGCTATAGTGCTGCAGCCCTGAGGCACTCCAGGGCATCAGCAGCAAGTCTCTGCTGTGAACACTCAAGCAGCACACGAGGAAATGCAGCTCCTGTGTCACCAGCTCAGGGCTGTAAGCCTGGCAGGTTGGCTGCTCGTGTGCATATGTCTCTGGGCCACGGCAGCATTGGGATGTGAGCACCTTGCTGTGTCCAGCATGGGGCAGAAGGGGGCTGGAGAGCAATGGGGAGACTAGCACCCTTAGGCTGTAGGAAAGCTCTCCATGTCCATTGCCAGGTGGTAATGGAGGCTGCAGAGATGTTACAGAACTTTGTGGCACAGAAGTTCCTGGTGTGTAGCTGGAGATCAGCAACAGGGCTAAGAGAAGGGCAGAAACCCCGTAGTCTGCCCACATCTCTGCACTCAGTCCTTCCCACCTATGTTTTCCCCCAGCACACCCCTTCTGAGCACTTCCAAGGAACAGGCATAGGAGTCCCCTCAGTGAGGACCCTTCAGCAAAGCCATGATTTCAGCTACTGTTCACATAGGCTGGAGCGAACGGGATACAAGGAAGCTACACACCAACCCTTTCAGGAGCAGCCAGGCTCTGCCAAAAGCAGAATGCTGCCCATTATCAGCTTGCAGCTATGCTGGAAAGCAGATCTGAACTAACACAGGTTTGCAGCACTTACCTGAGAACATCAGTGACCCACTTTGCAAGAGACAAGTGCACAGCATCCCATGGGAGCAGGCACCCCCTCCTCAGCCACGTCCAGCTCTGCTCCTGTGTGGAAAAGCCTGGCCACACATTAATGCCAGAATTCAGCCCAGCTCCCCTCAGCAAGGATGGAGCTGGGCAGCAGCTGAGGCACTTCTCTAATGCTGCTCTGCTGCCAGGCTCACCTGACTTCAGTTATTGCTCCTCACACCAGAGCCCTGAGAGAATCAGACACAGCAAGGGTTTCCCTGCAATGAGAAAGGAACAAGCAGTGCTCAGCTGGGCCTTAAAAGGGGAAACAAAAAACATCACAAAGAACTGCCTGCTCTTTTTCAAAAGCAGCAGTTTCACTTCCCTTACAAGCAGTGGCTCCAAGTAACAAGATGCCTTGAGTAATTAACTGAATGTTCTTTGGACAGAGCTTGCAAAAGGAACTTAAATGTATTAAATAAGAAAGGAAGATCTAAAGCCCAGAACTGGTTCTTTACTAACAGGCAAAAGGTTTGGACTGAATCCTTTTTACACCATGCTTTACAAGGACCTTACACTGAAATTATTCAATAGAAAGAACTGAACAGAGTCCTACATATTTGTCAGGGGCTAACCAGAAAAAGCAAGCTTTATGGTTGGTTTGCTTTTTTTTTTTTTTTGGCATTACCATGACAGAGCTGTAAAGATTTAGCAGTAGCACCACATTAGCCTTCAAGAAACAAATAGAACAACTGCTTCCTCAGCTAGGTCATCTTCTATAGCAAGTGTTATATTTGCCATTATCAGAGCTGAAAGTGGAAAGGAATACCTCATTAACACATGGAAGGACAAAGGATCTTCTGTGTAGCAAGGGCCTGCATAGTGCTAGGTGCCAGTACTGAATTATGTCAGTATCCCGAATTATGCTTGCCCAACACAACCTTCTGCTCCTTTAGAAGAAGCCACTTTAGTGTAAAACTGTATAATTGTCCTCCTTGAATTCCTATTTTTTACTTTCAACAAGAAACAAAACCAACGTTCTACAGTCAAGATAAGGTAATCATAGCAACATACACTTGTTCTAGATGGAAACACACCTGTGCAGCATCAGTATTACTACACAAGACTCAGATGCTCTATTGTATTTGGAATAAATTGCAATAGCAGGGAGATAAATGTGCCTTGTGGTCTGTGGGGAAAAAAAAAAATCTAACAGAAATACGGAGAAGGTGTTATAATTATTTAATGGGTTTATTTTGATACCACCAAAAAGAAAAAAAAAAAAAAAGCAAGATTAAATCAGTCTTTAGCCATTTTTACAAAGTGGCTTTGAAGGATAAAAAGTCTGCTACCCTCCTGTGTCTTTGCCCCAAAACTAGTACTATGCACTATGTAGAGGAGGCAAAGGCAGTCACGTCACATAACAGCAAGTGGCACCAGAAAAGCCTTGAGGAGCCAACTCGAGAAATCTAAAAAAAAAAAAAAAAAGAAGAAAAAAAAAGAAAAAAAAAAGAAAAAAAAAGAACAAAACGGTATGAGGTCTGCTGAGATACCTACTACAGTCTCACCATGCTGTATGCTGGCCGAACACACCTACTTTGACCAGGAAACCATTAAAAGCAGCTGCACTCTTCTATTAAACTGAGAAAGCTTTCATGATGTGACTTTTTCCAGCTCTTCATAACTGGCTTGGTATAAATGGTCAGATTGGGAGTTATACACAAGGCAGGGCTTTCCATATTTCAGGCAGACTGTTTCATGCCAGCTATTCTGGAAATTAACTTGAGCACAAACGGTATGTGATGTGCAAAGACACAGAGATAAATCAGCTGCTACAGAACACTCAAAGGCTAGAGGACTACGATTGCTTTTACATTCAATTCCTGCTCTGGCAAGTGCTCTCTTTCTCACAGCAGCTTTCCAAAAGGGTCCAGCCACCTCAGAGACTTAAGCTCCAGCATTCCTGCTTACCAGCTGCCTAACTCAGACAAGGCTGCATCTCTAAGTTAAAGTTTCAGGACACCTAAAAAAAGATCTGAACTTACTAGGAAGCAAGAGTCCTAATGCTGCAGAGCAACATAGTGTCTATTTCATAACTAAGCCTCTCATATTCCAGAAGTGTTTTTGTTTCTTCCAGGGAGGAGCAACACGACAAAAATATTTCCTGTTTACCTATTCATATTCAGCTGTGATAGAGACAAAAGATTTCAGCTCATGCCCTCACTTGCTGATTGAAGAGAAATAAAGATGAAACAAAATAGTCAAATATGTTTCCTTTTTGAATTAAAAAGGTGGTGGTTGTTGTTGTTTTACCTTAGAAACCTAAGTCCTCCTTCACTTGAACGTGACTAAGAGCTGGTGCAATGACAAATGATGGAATAAACCTGTAAAGTTTATGTGTGACGTTTCAAAAAGCTTTTTTGCCAATGTCATAGACTCAGCATTGCTGGCATTCCTGAGATAAATAACTCAATTATTTAAAGAAGCAAAAAAGTTTCAAGCCTTCTTTACATATCAAAAAGAAGGTGAGAAAAGAACAGAAGGACTATTTATTGTATGTTATTTGCAAGTCACATCTAACTTCATACTCTAGCTGAGATCATGGGTAAACACATGTTGTATCATGTACAGGGCTCAGTTATTTCATTTTAAGGTGGTGGAGCTATTTCACGTTTGAAAATTATTGGATAGCCAACAATTTTAGATCTGTCTTTTTCACCTATTATAAAAAGTATTTTTTCTATATTTATCCCTTTAATGTTCTTGCTTTATCTGCTTTAAACACAATCTCTCTGCTCCTTGATGTGCAAACAACTGCGTACCTTGCTGAGGACTCCCAGTTGCACCCTATTCTTCCATTCCTACTGTCAAAGCAATCTCTGAAAAGATAGGCCTATAAGAAAATCAAAATTCAAGGACAGATTTTGTAGTGAAGCAACAAAAAATATTCAATGCTTTAATGACAGTGTTTGTTATTGGTGTCATCATTTCAGTTACCAACTTCTGTTTTTTGTCTGTTACTGAGTTTAAATCTGAGTAAAATACAAACATTAAATCATTGTCATAATCAATGAATAGTTGTTTAGTCTTTTTTCATCAGCCAATTAACATAGCTTATCTAGGGAAAAAAAAAAAAAAACAAACAAAAAAAAAAACAGACATTAATACTCAAAGAGACGGGACCTAAGCTTTCAGTCATAAGCTTATGCTTAACTTTCTATGGTTTGGGTTGGCACAGTTACTGTGGACCTAGTCCTGTTGAATCGGGGACCATTCAGAGATCATGCGATGTATCATAACAAGGCACAGGACATGATCAGATTCAGGCTGCAAGTGGCTAAAGAACATACCTTTTTGCCTTTTCTACTTGTCGTTTTCAGTGCTGTCATCCTGCCATGCTGATGACACAACAAATGGAAAGAATTCAGTACAATTTTTTTGTAATGGTATTTGTAGAGTGCCTTGTCCTGATGAATCCAACTCAAAAAGCATCTGCTACAGAAAGTAAATAAAATATTACAAGAATCAAATTCTAATAATTGATTAGTTCTATTTTTTCTAATAATAATTAACTAATGCTATCTTAGTTCTAATTATTCTAATTATTCTAATAATTAACTAGGAAAGCAATGCTTCCCTCACAGAGTATGCTAACACATACTGCTCCAAACTCATTCCATTCATGGCTGTAGTATTACTTTGGGTTTCCATCAACAGAGGTAAGAGCAGGTTTGCTACTTCCTTGCTTGATTTCATTAGCCTGACCACTGCAAGTTAGGAGGATCATTTTGAATAGTTAAGTGATTTACGTTAATTTCCCTCTGGGGCCAGTATGAATTTATAATACTGCACATTTAAATGCATTTTGTTGATGTAGTAGTCTTTAAAGTGTACCATCCTAAAGAGAACCTCATTAATTACACAGGAATATATTCCCCAGCATGCTACAGAAAAATATGGATTCCTTTCCCAATCAGTTTTACATTTCACATATCCATAACTATAGATTTAGTCTCCTGCATGAGATAAAGAAATAGCATAACCTAGTTCTTCCAAGCACAATGGACCTGCCTATGCGGAGTCTCAGGTGGACCTGTGACTCTCCAGTAACTGGTTGTGCTTCAGCAAATGCAAATTATTAATAAGGAACAAGGCAGTGATTTTAGCTTTGCATATGGCATTGGCACAAAGAATGCTGGAACTGTGACTACAGCTTTGTGTGTCTACATTTGAAGTGGACACTAAAAAAGTCAGACGCACAAACGAGAGCTGCAACAGCAGTCCCAGTAAGGGGAAAATGACTAACAGCAATAGGCACGAGCAGTTCTGTCTATACCTTACTAAGATGAAGATAAAGTAACAACTTGGTTATTATGTGTATATAGCTTCAATGGAAGAAAACACTGGAGATTAAAAAGCTCTTTAGTCTACTGGAAAAGAATCAAACAAGAAATAAGGAGCAAAATGTTAGAAGCAATATATTATGGTATGTCAATCAGGACTGGAAATAATAGCTATTTTTTATCTGCCAGTAAATTAAATCAAGTGAAAACATCATGTTATGAGATTCTTCTCAGTTTAAGGGATCTTTTATCTCCATGATGCTGAATAATATACAAGAAAAAAAGAACACCTAACTTTTTTCCTATACAAGAAAAAAAACACCTTACTTTATGAAATACCACATTAAATATAATTAGCTGGAGCAGCTCTCAGATCATTCTTATGTTAAACTCAATGTATTTGAATACACCAGTGTTCATACAAATATATTTTCAAATACAAATTTATTTGAACTGCTAAAAGCAGAACGAAACAAAAAATGAGGGCCTTCTGAAATGACAGAAATGATAATAGTAAGAACTGGGAAAGCGGACTTATAACTGTGCAGTGTTGCGGCAAAACAGCAGTGCAGCTGCAGAAGAGTAAACACAACACAACCCTTTTTCTTCCTCCTGCAGGTTTCTGATGTACTCCAACACCACAGAATGGTTCCAGAACAGGACAGAAGGATCAAGGAACAGGATATCCTCCCCTCTGTAAAAGTTCTGAGGAAACAACCCATCTTGAAACAAATCTTCAGGAAGCAGAGAAAGTGTTAAAGCCTTGATCATTCTGCCAGTGAAAGCGATGAAGTGCTAATGAAAATGCTGGAATGATGCTAAAGGATTTTGTAATGGTCAGACACTCTCAGGAACAGTGAATCAGTACCTGGGACATTTCAGACAGCTCTTCCCTTCTGCAAGCTCTTACCCTCACTTAAAATGACTACTCTGTACCCTTCTATTCAATGTTATGACCTTACTTTAACACCTGTTCTACTACCCTAAATGCAGATATAAATCTTCCTCCATGCAAATATTAATTCCCCCCAACAAATCACCTTGATGAGGATGGTCCAATGAAATTCATCTAAGGAAGGAAAAGAACGAGTATGAAGTAAATTTTCTTAAGAAAGTTCTACTAAAACTGTAAAGGATTTCTTAAAGCAATGGCATAAACCATACCTGGGACATCAATTAAATGTCTAACAACAAAGCACTGGACAACATAGACCTACATATAGTCTTCCTGTGTGTGTGTATACATATAATGTATACATTCTATATGTACTAATGAACTAATCAGCCCTTAGTTTCCAGAGGTTCTTTTATTCTGCATTGCCAGAACCTATTGTCAAGATGTTATACAAACATCAGGGCTTCCATTTATTTAAGTAAACATTTACATTGATCTAAAACCTATCATCCCCATTTACAAATAGGAAATTTTACCCCATCTTTAGGTCAGAGGAAGCTTTGTGGGTAAATCCTATATCCCTCTTTAAAAACGTAGAGTATGCATCTTCTTTTCCACTTGCAAGGGAAGAGGAAGAGTTGTCCAGGCACATTAATTGCTATATGGGACAAGGAGTTAAAGAACTTCTTAAAAAGAAATTTAAAAGTCAGTTCACGTATTGTGCAGATTTTATGATGCTTACTTCTGTAGATAAGCTTTTTATATTATCCTAGCAGAGCCAACAGACTGCTCAATCAATGTCACGGTGTCCACATACAGCAGAGGAGCTGCTAGGTTTGTAACAGAGATTGTTCCTGCATGTTCTTATCCTTAATAATCTTCCTAACAATTTGTAAAATGAAAAGAAAATGTAAAGAAATAATGACATTTAACTTTTTTATGCCCTGTATCACTGATGTCACCAAGGATTATAACTTCTCACTGCTCTCCAAATGCAGCTGAGGAATCAGATATACCAGTATATCCCTTGCTTCTGTCTTCAAAAAGTGGCAAACTTCTTCCTTTGAAACCAGTACTAATGACATTTTACAGTTGAAAAACAACTGGTGACAACCTCACAAAAACAGTTTTAAAAGATATTCAAGCATCAAACTTCCATTGATTCCCTTGGAAATTATGACTTTGAATACACATAAATATCTAGGCACAAGTAACTATTCAAATTTTCCCAGGTCAGCTACTAAACACCCCTTTAAAATTACTTTCTTAAACAGGTGTTTTCTGAACACTGTTTGAGATACTTCCCTCTTCTGAACAGCCAATACTGTGAACAGATTGCCACATGCAAACACTTGTCCACAATATAGCATGCCCTCTTCCTTATATAATATGGATCTTTAGCAGTTTTGTACTGTAGTAGAAATCTCCGAATACGAGCAAAAGCATCTCTCTGACAATACTGCATTTATGTAGTTTTCCACAAAGATTCTTCATCCTGTGGTATGCATGGAGTCCCTCAGCTCTGCTGATAAAAGGTGAAGTATACTGAGAGATTAGACCTTGAGGAGGAGATGGCAGTGAGATGCTGAAACACGCAACCTTGTTTATCATATCCAGCATTCCAAGTATGCTTTGGGATTTTTTCCAAGTATTTATCTCCCGGTTTACTTTACTAAATCGTTTTAAAAAAAGAGCAGAGTGGCACTGAATAGGAACTGATTACATATTTGATACTTTGCTGTCTGGAAAATGGTTTAGACTGAACTAGTCTTTTGGTGATATGAACATTGGAAACCAACAAAAAATCTACGTGTACTTCCCTTTATTTCTGCAGAAGGCAGAGACAGTGTTAAATTTCTGGTATGGACTGTGCAGCCTGTGAGACATGATGCTTGCTAAATAAAAAGTATTAAACACTACAGTTTCAAAGCTGTTTTTTATTTGTTTTTATTTGTTCAATATTTTCAAGGGTAACACATGGAGAAAAAAATGAAGTGACTGATAACAGATGATTCTAAATTGTTGGCTTTAGTAGCACGAAGTAAAAATGCAAATGCATTATTGAACTGAGCACAGCAAACAGACGGCTTGGTCACCCCCACCCCATCCTGATATATAAACAGAGATTTCATTCAGAAAATGGCATTACCTTTACTCAGAACAGCCTAATTATTAGCTTAAATATACAGCACATTTTCAGTACATCTATTTTATAGCAGCTTCTCCCATGAGCTTGAGAGTACATTAAAGTGTGCTAGTAAGCATGATTATAAACCACCTACTGGATAGAGGAAGTTCTGCTATTTTATCATTTACACCACTCTGCTAACAAATGGAAAAAAGGGCACTGTAAATTTAACAGCAGGCATACATATCTTCATTTATTCTTCCATCTTTTTAGCTTGCAGCTAAACTTAAGACCTGGAAGTGCAAGTAGATTAAAGCTCCATCTAGTGCCAGGGTCCTGGAAGTTACTGAAAGACTTGCAGTCAAAAAATAGCAAACACGCTTACCAAACTATCAAGAAGCAGCAAGCCTAACGGCTCAAACACACAAAGGGAAGTCAGTTGGAATTACTCTTACATTGTATAAGGGCTTAATTTTAAAGATGCTGTGTCTTGTACCAAACAGAAGATACCTGTTGGATACAGACAACATTCTCCAAATGCGCACATCCCAGTCTGTGGAACCAAGCTTCCACTCAGGCAGTTCTCTCCGTGGCAGCAATGTACGATTATTATGGTAATATTCTGCACTACTGACCTTCTCCTGATCCAGTGAACACAGCGGGTGCAGGCAGGGAGGGAACACAGAGCACTCCTCCCTGAAGCCCACTGCCTGGAGCTAGGGTACTCTCAAGAGAAGGGGAAAATCCGTGTTTGAAACTGCTCAGAAAAACAGATCCCACTCCTGGACTTCCCATTCCTTGCCAAGTGCTTCCAAACTGCTACACAGCAAAGGCTCAGCCCAGCTGCAGAGGCCACTTCATCCCACAGGGCCTGACACCTGCACACCTGCAACGTGTGCCCTCGCAGGCTTCGCCACCCAAAGCCAGGCCAGAAACAAAGCTAGCATCAGGACAGAAACTTATGAGCAAGTGCCTATATTCTGTTTTTTGGATGTACCTCCTGGTTACTTTCTCCTTTCTTTCAGCAAAGCAGTTCATAAATAAAATCTTTGTTTTAATTCTGGAATTTACTGTAGTGGTATTTAATAGTATGTATAAAATGGCAAAAAAAAAAAAAAAAAGAGAATTC